TTCCTGGCGCCAGGGCCGGGCGGTGAGCTCCGCTCTGAACGCGTGACAGGCGCTCACGGCATCGAGCTCCCCCGCAGTGCCGGGCGGTCAGTTCGGCGCTGATGTCGCCGATAACCTGTCGGCGCGGGTGTCACAGCCCGACCCTCAGCGTTCGGGGAAGGAGACGCCCTTTTCCCCGCTTCTTTCTGTGCTCCGGTGAAAGCAGGTGGCCCCTGGTCGGGTTCTCTGCCGTGGGCAAGATGCTGCGGCGTGTCAGTGTGTTCCCAACCGGGTGTTCGCGAGCTCTCCTGTTGAAGCCGGTGTTGTCCCATCCTGACGTATTTGCTGGTTCTTTTTTTTTTTTTTTTTTTTTTTTTTAATTCTTGAGATTTTTCTGCGTCGCAGCAGGGGGATGCTTACCTTCGCGTAGGAGGGACGTAGCTGGCTCTAAAACACACCATACTGAACGTTAGTACCTCAGGGTGTCGTGTGCTTTTTTGGAAAACGAACTTGGAAAAGCCGGCTCGGGGGTTGTTCAGCTTGCGAAGGGGGGAGTGATACCCGACGTCTGATGCACGTGTCCTCTTGGCTAATTCGTTCTACCTAACAAAAACAGAACTAGGATTTTTTTGTGTGTGTGTGTGTGTGCATCAGAGCGTATGTTGCCCTGGAACGTGCTGTGCTGCACGTTTGCTTGCAAATTTTCCTGCAAGAAAACTGTTCGTCTGCTCTGAAGCGCTTTTGTGGTGCTGATAGGTTTTTATTTACTGGGACGTTGGTCTTCCATGTTTTCCCAGCAGCACCACAGTTCCTTTTTTTTTTTTCTTTTCACGTGTCACAGTCAGATGTTTAACATGTGTGATTGTTTTCATCGTGGTGTAGCTGAGGCCTGAGAAATTCCTTCGATTTAGTCTAACACTAGCAGCTGCAGATCGCTACAGGGCTTTAATCAGGTTTGATCTGCATAGCCCACGTAGTTGAGTTTTGATTTGTTGGTGATGTGAGAGATGACTGGCATCTAAAGCCAGTCATACATTTCACATTTCATACAACTTAAAAATAAGGCTTTTCTTATCATTTTTTTCCCAAATACTATTTGCAGCACATGTATGCTGGTGTTCTTTTTTTTTGTTGTTTTTGTTTTTTGTTTTTTTTTTTAATAATAGCAAGCACATGTCGTCTCATTGTTGCCCTGCTTAGGGTACTTAATTTGATGCTGCCTGAGAATCTACAGGTTGTACTAGAAAAAGTTGTCTCCATTGAAAAGAAAAAAAAAGTAATGCTTCCCTTTCCTTCCCTGCTCTCCTCCCTCTCCCAAATCAGTATAACAATAAATTCTGTATTTGTTCATCACTTCACATCCTGAGTTCCTCTCTGATGTTTGGATTTCACTATTGGCTAGTAATGCAAAGTGAGGATAGTCTCAATACTTGGTAATCTAGATGTAAGACATAAAAATAGAATAGGGTTTTTACTGTGGATAAAAATAAATTTTTGTTTATTTATTTTCCTCTTTCCCTGCCTCCTTCCTGCTCTGCCCTGCCCTGCCCTCAGAGGAAGTCTGGAAGGGAAAAGAGAACAGAAGAGTTACAAAGCTCTCCTAGAAGATCCAATGCTGAAGTTCTCGGGACTGTATCAAGAAACTTGCTCTGACTTGTATGTAACTTGTCAGGTGTTTGCAGAAGGGAAGCCTCTTGCTCTTCCAGTTAGAACTTCCTACAAAGCTTTTAGCACTAGATGGAAGTAAGTGACTGCCTTTCATTTCATATTCCTCTTAGTTACCAGAGCATCGAGTTACATAAATAAATCTATATACCTTTTATTCGTGTCAGAAAGATTTTTTTTCTGTTGTGTTCTTCAAATAACTTACCTTTCTTCATGTGTCTGTATGGTTATTAAGTGTCGCCCTGTCAGAATAAAACCAACCTTTTTGTGTAATAGGTAAGTAATAAAATTGTTACTTGTGTGTTTGGGCATGGCTCGCTACTGAACTTCTGGGGCCTGGGCTGGCACACTTTCATACTGTTTACTGGACAGACTGATCTCTGGTACTTGGTTGTGAAGCATTTTTCCTTTTGTCTCTAGCCTTTTAATCGTGCTTCAGGCAAGTATTTGAATGGTTAAAGCCTGCAAGAAAAATAGCCCATCTGCCCTTAGAAATTCATGTTCTAAGAGAATCTGGGTTGTATAAACTGATACAGAGTAACTTGAATTCTAAAGCTTTGTGTTTAATATAAAGTGTTTCTCTGCAGCTGGAACGAATGGCTGAAACTGCCTGTGAAGTACCCAGACTTGCCTCGCAACGCACAGGTGGCTCTGACCATCTGGGATGTGTATGGACCGGGTAAAGCAGTTCCTGTGGGAGGAACAACGGTCTCGCTCTTCGGGAAATATGGGTATACTGCTTTTTCTTCTGTAATACAGATTTGAAGCTCAGTTGTGAATAGTAGGGTAGTGGTGATTACAAGAGATTTGGAAAAAAAAACAAAACCAACCCAGGTTAACAGTTCCATGTTTGAAAAATCAGATACAGATATGATTTACTCTGTTTATTACTGAGTGTAACTTTATACGTGATAGTGTTGTAAAAGTCTTCTCTGGTGTAACACCAACGTTTTGACTTTTTTTTTTTTTAAGATCTGTAGGCTTGGATTTTGAGGTAGCAAATCACTTTATAGTTTTGTAATGCATGGGTGCTAGAACTGATTACTTAACATAATTTATTTAATTGGCTTGTAGTTGGGCTGTTAATGCAATGTTATTTATAAGGAATAAAGTGTAACTCAGTAAATCAAGAGTTTCCAAAATTAATAATCTGTGATCCAATAGAGAGTGGGTTTAGTGAATTTGTGAATGATAACACTAAGCTGGAATGGATTAGAAGTGTGCTGTGGGAGGTGACAGTACACCTAAAGGATCTTGACTGAAAAGGGGCCTGGAAAAAAAATAGGATGCAGTTTAATGAAAAGTATGAGGCCCTGGTACTTCTTGCAATTCATTGTAGTCAATTACAGAATCGGGAGCAGCTGCCCAGGAAAACAGAGGAGAAGTTTTGTGGTTTAAAGTGAATCTTAAGTTTTTCATGATTCAGCGTTGTGATGCTCTTGTGAAACGAGCAAACAACATTGAACATGTGACCAGTCTGCAAGTGTGTGCCTCGGGCAGTGTTGTATGCTCCTGCTCCGTGCTCATCTGCTCAGCTAGGATATGTCCAGCTCTATACAACTGACCCTAAGCAAGTTGCTGACTACTGGAAGTCTAAGGGAGTCCATATCATTGAACATCTAGCACATACGTGTGATGGAGGAGGAGTAAAGACCAGTAAGTCTGAAGAAAAGACCACAGAGACTCTTTCCTGGTATATAGGTAGCCCTGGAAAATGGGGAGAAATAGCCTTTTTTTTGTCTTGTCAGTGAAGAGGAAGAAAGAAGTCTAAACTGAAGTGGAGGAAAAGTTTAGTTTAGCATTAGGAAAGCAGTTCTAGTGATACTGGAATGCAGAAAATAACTGTGGAGAGGATTGTATCTCTGCCATGGAAGATACTGCTTTGACAAAAAGATTGACGTTTTCTTAGGTCTGAAAATTGAACTGGATGAATTGGAGTCGGCTGCGAAGACTGCTGGTAGTTTTTAAAGCATTAGAGCATAGTCCCTGGAAAAAGATGAAATTTATAAATGAAATTTACTCTTTTTTCAAGCATGTGGGGCCTGAAGGAAGTAGATGGACAGAAAGTAACAAATAATTTCAAAATTTTGTGTTTACTTGTAAATGGAAACCCTTGTAGGAGTATTCCACAAAGTGATGTGTAAATTGAAGGTCAGGTGGTCCTTCTAGTTGGTATTTCTCATTTTTAATGGTTGACTTCACAGGCTGAGGTCTCTTTTACAGGCTGAGAGAGTTGGGACTGTTCAGCCTGGAGAAGAGAAGGCTCCGGGGTGGTCTTATAGCAGCCTTCCAGTACTTAAAGGGGGCCTACAGGAAAGCTGGAGAGGGACTTTTTCCAAGAGCATGTAGTGATAGGACAAGGGGCAATGGCTTTAAACTGAAAAAGGAGAGATTTAGATTAGATCTAAGGAAGAAATTTTTCAGTTTGAGCGTGGTGAGGCACTGGAACAGGTTGCCCAGAGAAGTTGTAGATGCCCCATCCCTGGAAGTGTTCAAGGCCAGGTTGGATGAGGCTTTGGGCGACCTAGTGCAGTGGAGGGTGTCCCTGCCCATGGCAGGGGGCTTGGAACTGGATGATCTTTGAGGTCCCTTCCAACCCTAACCATTCTATGACTTTTTGAAGTGTTCATTCCAGTTGCGTTTACCTGAAGTTGTTAGAGTTAAGCGGTCGCCTCTCGTTGGCAGAAGTAATGCACTTGATTTCTGGGGCACCTTTTGTAGGCAGGTCAGCACAAATACGCAAGGGAAGCAGAGTTTTGCTGAGAAAAAGTGTGGTCAGTTACCATGCAAAGGTTTGTTCACGGCACAATTGCCGATTCAATTTTAAGTGTAGATGGAAAAAATGGTGCATTGAGAGTTGTGTGGAGTTGTGTGGGTTTTTTATTTAGCAGCTCAGAAGGCTGCTTTTTATCTGTTGACCTTCCAATGAAGCTTAGGTAGTCTTGTAGTTGAATTTTTTCAGACTGGCAGACTTAAAGTCACATTATAATTCGCAAGTCAAAAGGAATACTTTCTGCTTCATTACAAGTGAGGAAGCTATGAAGGTCAAACTCTGTCCTCAGTTTTCGTTTGTACCACCCCACTGACTTTGGGAATTACCCGTTTTTCTTCCACTTGCCAAATAAATTGTGTCAGACTTATCATTTTCTTCTAAACTCCATGTGCCAATAAGAATGAAGGCTGTAGAGGGCACGAAGTGCAAGTCACTCTTGCAGTTCAGTTGAATTATGCATGGTGGTGCGTGTTTGTAGGTTTGGCAAAGGAAGCCACTTTGTTCTCTTGCAGCTGCTGCTGTACTTTGATTACTGACAGCTGTATTATTTTGAATTTACTGAAGTGATTCTGTGTTTTTCCCTGCAGTATGTTCCGTCAAGGAATGCATGATTTGAAAGTCTGGCCCAATGTAGAAGCTGATGGCTCGGAGCCCACCAGAACTCCTGGGAGAACCAGCAGCACAGTCTCTGAAGATCAAATGAGCCGCTTGGCAAAGGTAATGGAATAGCGAGTAACCTTTAAAAAGTATGTGAAAAGCTTCATTGGAGTGAAATTAAGAGAGTTTTTAGTGAAGACAGGCTTCTCATGTTGTTTTCTCACGTGAAAGCTATCTTCCTTTGATTGTTTAGGTATTTCACAGCATATCTACAATCGAGTAGACTACATCATGCTCAGTTGCTTCTGAAATGGTTTTTTAAAGGGGACATTTGAATACCTTTTAAAATACGTAGCATTCTGCTGTAACAACTTAGCAGCCTAATTCTTTGTAAAGAATGAAAATGTGAACATGCCATTAAGATGCTTGAAGCCAAAACTCCATCAGGTTCAGTAAGAGCAGCTCTTAAGAGTAATTTGTGAGGACAGTCTAGTTTCTTTCAGTAGCCATCTTTTAGGTTTACGGCTGTCTGGTGTAGTGTTCAGCTGTGTATGACATACCTCTACACTAGAAAGAATGTGAGTAGGACTGCAAAAATTAACAAAGTTCATTCATTTAAGATCATGAATATGTGTGTGTATTAGTATTTTCTTCTCCCACCGTGATGGCAGGCTGTATTTTTGCCATCAAAACTACTTCTGGATAGAACTACTACTAGTTCTTGAACTGTTTTGATACCTGATCTCTCCCATTCTTCGGGTAAGCTTACCCCAAGCTTGCCAAATCACTCAACTCATTTACTCAGTGTACTTTCTTCTTCATCTTGGTCTCCTAGTTTTTGTCACTTACCTTTGTGCAACTCCCAGTGAAAGATAAGTCCAGTGTCATAAATATGTCCATTTTCTCATCTCAAGATTTATCACAGCGATAACGTAGCTTTCATTTAGAGTCCTTATTAGTCTAGTTCACCTTGAACTTATAATGGAAAACTCATTAAAGCTTTCTGCCAGGGGTGGTACCCCATTTCTTCTTGTATCATCGTAGAATAAATCCCCTCGAGCCCGAGGAAGCTTTGTAGGCAGACACTAGATATCAAGGCTTATTCATGGTTCATCAAGCGGTTACGTGATGTGGGCTGTGGGTCTCTGAGAAAGGGCTTTAGAGTGTAGGCCTTCCCTTTCCGGTTAGTTCTATTATGAAACATACTAGTGATTTTTTCTTCTCTTCCATTCTCTCCCTGTGCTCCCTAGCTCAAGAAATTCAAATAATGTAGTATATATTCAAATAAAATTCAAGTAATGTACACTGTTTGAGTCTTAAAATACCTGGGTCTGTTCTAGCCTGTTCTTTTTGTCTATGGAAGAAGAGGGAAATCTCCTTTCAGATCCCCATTGAGAGTTCTAGTTAATGGCTAATAAATGGTAATAACATCAGTGTCACCGTTCTTCTCTTCTGAAGGCTGTTTTGGGAGGCATTAATTTCTGAAAGATGAGAATGTTTTCACTCATGTTTTGTTCTGTTCATTTATAAAAACATTGCACCATCAGATGCCAGCGAAGCGAATAGGGTTTCTGGGTAGTCTGTCTGTGAGAGCATTCATTTGCACAGCTGTTTACACAGCAGATGAGGTTCTTGTGATGTACCATTCCTAAATAGCTGTTGTTTGAGCACAGTCAGCTTCAGTTTTGCTATGACTTAATCAGTTGCTGAGCTCCTCCCCATGCTGCTGTATGTGGAGTTATATTTAAATATGGGCAAGAGGAGTAGGACTAAGTAAATACAAGATGAGTTTCTGTGGACTTGGTTATTCTTGGTTTATTTTGCTTTTTTTCTGTTTATTGGACAGACTTATCATTTATAAGTGTCATGTTATTGATAGATGTTTGATACCGGAGGCCAGATTAGAGTCCTCCAGGTAGTAAGGAACTTTTGAGAAGAGCTTGCTGAAGGACCTTTTCTCCATCTAAAAGAGAACTTGTTATTTTCTTGATGTGCTTCTGAGTTTGTGCATGTCTGGTATTTGTTGTAGGGAATTTGTGTAAAATTCGTGACTGGCTGCTGGCGGAGTTGTCTCTTTTTACCTTAAGTCATCGATACTGTGAGAAGTCTCTCATTTCGTGTTGAGGTGCCATTTGGTTGTGCGTTTACAAAACCTTGTGAGAACCTCATGAAGTTCAGCAAGGCCAAGTGCAAGGTCCTGCTCATGGGTCAGGGCAGTCCCAAGCACAAGTGCAGGCTGGGCAGAGGATGCATTGAGAGGAGAAGGATGCGGGGGTGCTGGTTGAGAAGAATCTCAACATGAGCCGGCACTGTGCGCTGGCAGCCCAGAAAGCCAACCATATCCTGGGCTGCATCCAAAGCAGCGTGGGCAGCAGGTGGAGGGATGTTTTTACCCCTCTACTCTGCTCTCATGAGACCCCACATGCGGTACTGTGCTCAGCTCTGGGACAACATAAGAAGGACATAGACCTACTGGAGCCAGGCCAGAGGAGGGCCACGAAGATGATCTGAGGGCTGGGACACCTCCCCTATGAAGACAGGCTGAGAGAGTTGGGACTGTTCAGCCTGGAGAAGAGAAGGCTCTGATACCTTTTAGCAGCCTTCCAGTACCTAAAGGAGGCCTTACAAGAAGTCTGGAGAGGGACTTTTTCCAAGGGCATGCAGTGATAGGACAATGGGCAGTGGATTTAAACTCTCCTAAATCTGTGTATCAATGCTGGATGTGAATATGTGGTATTCTGAAAATTTAGATGCGCTAGTTTAAGGTATTGTAAATGAGAGGGCTACTTTGCATACAAAAAGAATAATTTTGTTAGATAAGAAAAAAGTAGGGAGTGATTTAGCTAAATCACCGTTTGGCTAAAACGGACAGGTAAGGGTAAGGAATGTCTTCGTTGCTGAGAATGAGAAGACCTTTTCTGTGAACTAGTCAGGACATTTGTGAATGCATCGAGTGATGACGTCCAGCCTGGCTGAAACAGCATTTTGGTTTGTAGCTGGTCTGCATGGTGTTAGTTCTCTACCTTTGAAGTACCTTATAACGTCACATACGAGACAGAGGCCAAGTCCTGTATTATCCTTTTAGTACAGTCCTGACACATTGTGTTTCTGTCTTACTGCTGAAATAGAATTTGGCAAACTGGCTGTGGAATATAACATTACATAACCTAGCAAATAATTATTGCTGTATTATGCTCCTGTTTACAGTGCTGCCAGTAAGTTGAAAGAACCTAAAAGACTGGGTTTCTGTGCTTTGGTTACATCCAGCATCCTGAAATGTTATTAAGGAATATACTTTGCCTTCCTCTGCCTTTCTTTTTCCTTTTGTACCGTGAAGTTTCTGAAGTTTGTTGAAGGTGATCTGAAGATAAGCTGTGCCAGAGTTTTCTGGAGACAAAACAAATGAAAAAAAGCCTCTACTATGTACTAAATGGGGTTAATTAATTCTTAGAAGTCACAGTGGTCTTCCAAAGTTTGCATCGAAATCTTACTACTTCTGTAAAGCTGTCCTGTGGTCTGAAGTTTAAAGAAATGTTAGGTGAATCAGCTGCTTTAAGCAAAAAATCTCATAGTCGTTATGTGATTATGGTTTTGTGTTTCATGGAATGCATTCAGAACAAAGAGCATCAGATGCTCATGGCTAATTTACTATTTAGTGCTTCTTGAAATGGCTAGTTCCTAGCAAATCTGAAATTTTTGTTTAAAAAAATGGCAGTATTTTCCTTCCAACTGAATAGTTTTTTCACTGCTTTTTAATTTGTGACTGATTTTTGATTAGTCCTTTTCTTTGGTAGAGCCAGTGACTAAGTTGAGGATTATTATTCAGTGGAAAATTTTAAACTTCATCTCTAGTAGACTTAGTAGGCACCAAGAATCAGAAAAAAATGAGTTAGGTAGCATATTTGTGAAATGAAAAAGTCTTGGCATTCAGAGCTAAATGTCATGCTTACTTTCATAAGTAATCTACCTTAAAATTTAATTCAGATCTTGAGATGGCACAGAGGCTATGGTGTGGGCTATAGTGTATTCCAGCTCTTTCTGACATAAACGGTTTCCAAGAAAACTAAATGAATTGGGAGTTTTGTTTCCTGCTTAGAGGTAGGAACCAGTATCCAAAGTGTTGTAGGACCGTAACACCAAATGAAACTTTGAGGAGGTGAATAAGAGGAAGAAGAGCCTGATGAACTTGTCTTAAACAGCAAGAAGTCAGTTTGTGGAAAGTGAACAAGCCACATGGTCTGTTGTTGTTCGATGTGAAGGAGCAGTTGATCAAGGCATTAAAAGACCAGGATAAATGCTCACTACCTGATCTTTGGCAGATCAGTTCCTCTGATACAAGAACACCTGCAGGGAGACAGCGGAACACTGAATTTTCATTTTCTTAATGGTTTTAATGGCTATTTACAATCTTTTGGTGACCAGGCAGTTATTTGCCTGTTGCGTCAGCATTGCTTCTAAGAGACATAAAAAGCTATTTGATTCTGCATACTTTCTGAAGCTTGGCTTCTTGTGAGTTCGTCATGTATGTACTCTCCAGATCAGCCAGGATCTGTACCTGGATATGGAGTTGATGCTCTGTTTTCAGAGTATGTCCTGGCAGGGTTTGTATTTAGCCCAGGTCATCCTTGATGTGCAATAATACTCGTGGCTGTACTGCTAAGACATCAGTTTACCCGGGATTTGAGTGAGAACAATGAAACAGTACTACTGGTGCAAACTCTTAACCCTTTTTTCCTTCTCAGTGATATTTCTATTATTTTTTTTCTGTTGTGGTGAGCTCCTGGAAATTTAGTGGAGGTGTCTGACAAACTCTGCGACCTAGGCAACTCCCAGTGTATAGCAAGTCTGAAGTCTTCTGTGTTGTTTCTTTTATAGTAACCTCATCTCCAGTTCTGTATGAAAGCAGCAAGTTGTTGTTGCATATCCTGTATTGTCCTGTATACAATACGTCCCATTCATACGCTCTCTTAGGATACCTTGCAGATTGCCTGTTCCCCAGCTGTCAGCTTAGCAAGAAATGGCAGTCAGTGTGACTGCATGGCCTGTTCTGGGTCAGAACAGGCTCCTGGGTGGGCAGGTGGACCTCAAAACAAAGCTTAGTTGTAACCCTTCCCTTAAGAAGAATCATTCTGAGGGTCTCTTCACTAGGCATTTCCTAGACAGGTAAAAATTTATTTGAAACATGAAAGAACTTCGTGTCTTCTAGTCCCTTTGCATCCTATATTCTACAAGAATTACTGATTTTTTTGGGGGAACACTAGTGATTT